TGGCCTTTATCCCTATTAAATTTCAATCCTAAATGAAGGAATTTGTCCAGCTTGCAATCGCTGTGAATGTTGGTTTTCACATTCACCTGACGTGCAGGGCATTCTCTTCAGAGGTGTGTGTTATGGAGAACTGATAATAGGGTTGATCCGGCACTGGTTCTACCTCGACCGGGAAAACGGACCCGCTGGAGAGCCCGGCGCCTGTCCCCGGGGCTATTGTGGTCGTTTGTCGACCCAACCGTCTTCCTTGTGGCCTTTAACTACCATTAACAACCCTTCTCTGTCTCGTCCCCCGAGTCGCTGGAGGCGCGCCGGCCCCCGGCCCCTTGGCTGGCCCCTGTGTGAAGTATCCTGTTTTAAATGGTCTCTCTGTAGAAATTAATACGTGACAAAGGCACAGCCTGAGTGAAAAGTGTCATCGAACCACCATCAGGAATTCCCTGGCAGGAGACGGTCGCTTCCACGCGTGCAGATGACTGAGTCTCGCGTTCACGACTCTCCGGGGGGCACTGCGCGTGGCAGGCAGATGACTAGCTGCCCAGGGAGGGCCACATCGACACGGAACTGTTACCTGTGCGCCCACGGGCGCCGTGTTTACAGATGCTGAAAACCCTACATCTTCACCCAGACGGCGCGGCTCAGTGGGCGGAGCGTCATCCCGCGGACCGAGAGGTCCCGGTTCAGTTCCCGGTCAGGGCACACGCCCGGGTTGCCGGCTCCATCCCCAGTGGGGGGTGTGCGGGAGGCAGCTGATCGATGTTTCTCTCTCACATCCATGTTTTCATCCCTTTCTTCCTCTCTAAAGAAAAAGACAATAAATACATATTTTAATAAATAAATAATAAACATTCTAAATCAGAAAGCTTTCCCACTAATCCTGAAAGTCAGCATGTAATAGGACTTGGATAATAAGTGTTATAATTTATGCATCTAATCATTGACCTAATCATCAGTCGTGGTTAATAATTAACTCTCTCATCCTGATCTTCAAAGCACTTAGTTTATTTTCTGTCCTCTATATTATCAGAAGGAACACTACGGAACATAAAAGAACATTTTCTTTTTATTCCAGGAGTGTTAAAGCACTTGGCAAATATGTATCTATTTAAGCATGAATTTTCTAGAGCTTTGAATTTTATCCTCCTCCCAGGAGGAGCCAACCACCAGCAGGACCGTTGGGGTGTCATTGGTCCCGCTGCATTGTTGCCACTTCATTAACACCCAAGTGCAGAGAGAAAGTCAGTCTTCAGTTCTGACTGCCCTTGAGGGTTCTGTGCACAGAACAGTGGTCGTAGGGACTCTTTAGAATAGAAGTCATAAATATAGGATCCTCTGATCTTGCTGAATTAAAGACTAGGGGAGACGGTTTGGTCGTGAAGACGCCATCGCTTACCTTGTGCTCGGCCTTTGCGAAGGGAATGAACGAGGTGGACGGCTTGGGCACCCACGACAGGGGAGTTCTGCACAAGCATTCAGTGTGAGAGACCGCTCGGGTGTGCACAGTGCATGCCTTGCTTTGCACCGATTCTTGCTACTTCAGAGCTCAGGATGAGGGCTGGAGAAAGCGCACGGAGCGCATGAGGCGCTGTTGTTCACCAACAGCAGAATCTGTCCCAGGCCCCTACAGGCACGTAAAGGGCTGCACATTTCTCGGGAAACAAATGTCATTTAAAGACGTGAGCCAGGATTGCGGACGACTGGGCATCGGGTTGTGCGCCAGCTCGTTGCCGCTCACCCGAGCTGGCAGGAGACAGGAGCCAAGCGTTCCTCAAGACTCCAGCCTGGGCGGTTGGCCTGCGCTCCTGAATCTGCTGTGATGCTCAGAGGTGGCGCCAGCCTCCTGGGCCCCACGTCGTCACCGCTTTAGACTGTCTGAGGCCTTGGGTCCCTCCCTCTGCCAGGGGCGCCCTCTGAAACCATCTCCACTTGCCTTCTCTGGATGTATTTTGCATGTAAATACCTTCCTTTGGCTACACAATCAAGGGCACAAATGGCCAGGTCATGCGTGTGAACTGCTGTCTGCATGACCTGTGAGTGGGTGTCATGTTTTCAGCTGGAGGAAAGAGCACCTTAGACCACAGAGGTTCCTTGACCGCTCTCGGACATGTTCCCTCCTGTTAGTAGGGCCAACCCTTCTTGAGAATAAATGAATAATCCACGGAAAGTACGAACACGTGTCTAGAATGCAAGGGCGCAGTCACTGCCACGCTGGCATCTCCGCGGTCTCCATCATCTCTCTCGGTACCAGGACCTGTCCTCCCTGTAACACACAATGCATGTCGGTGGATGAGTCAACCAGTGAATGAAGGCTCGTTACAATGGGAATCTAAACTGCAAGATCAGTGCACAGCTATGTAAAGTGGAATTAGACAACATGTTCCCAAATACAAACCACAGACGCATGTAATGTTAGCCAGGAATGATCCCCTTAGAGACAAGGAAAAGTTAAATTCCAAAGTGACAAATGACATGTTCCGTCCAAATGGAGTTATTCCTAGACTTTTGCTTAGAATCTGTGTTAGGTGATTTTCTCTCAACTTCTTCCCTCATTTAAAAAAAAAAAAAAATGTTTAAATCCCTCGTCCTGTGTATTCCCGTGGGCCAGTTGGAATGGATTTTGAGTATGTGACTTGCAAAAGCCTCGGGGTTTGAGATCAAGGGTTGTCCCTCCTGTGACCTTCTGCTGCTGTTTTATTTCTCATCTCAGACATCCAGTCCACAGTGATGACCGCACACCAGCCCACTGACCACAATCTCCTCCTGCGTCCAGAGAACACAAGTGTGTTCTCCCCTGGTGTTATCTGTGTATACCCCACTTCCTCTTCCAACGCCGGGGGGTTTGCTCTCTAGAGTTGGGTGCAAGGGTTTCTTTAAAAAGCTGTTTTAAATCCTCTCTATAAAGAGCAGATTGTCGTGTGTGGTTGGGGAAAACAGACGCGTCAAGTCTTCCAGGAGATGCCATTTCAAACGCCCAGCTGAGACCGCAGTCTGAGGGCACACTCAGACTGAGAGGCCGTGCCCCGAGTGATGGAGGGGGTTCACCCCTGTTCTTCCATTGTTTTGCTGGCTTTTGATTTGTCTTCTTTGTTAGCATTTCTTAGGTGGCTTTCATTTGATTTGGTTGAGCACAGAGAAAGTTCTGGAATAAGACCCCGTTCAGAATTCCATTCTTTAGGCACGGATGTGACCTTCCTGTTGAAGTCACATTGCTTTGCACCGCCCTAGGCCCAGGCACGTGTGTGAAATCGCGGGGCCTGAAACGTCAGAGCCCGGCTGTGTGTGAGGGTGGCCAAGGACTCCCCAACTGTCAGCACGGCCGGCCGCCCGTTCCCACCGAGACCAGGATGAACGGGGGCCAAACACAAAGCAGTAGTCCTGATTTAAATTCTTTTTCTTTGTTGCTTTTTAGAGAGAGAAGAAGGGAGAGGGAGAGAGAGAGAAAGAAACATCGATGAGAAAGAACATCGATTGGCTGCCTCCTGCACGCCCCCCACTGGGGATCAGGCCCACAACCTGGGCATGTGCCCTGACTGGGAATCAAACCAGCGACCTCTTGGTGCAGGGTCGACGCTCAACCCCTGAGCCACACCGGCCGGGCAGTAGTCCGCTGGACCACAGGCCGATGCTCTAACCGCTGAGCCACACCGGCCGGGCAGTAGTCCACTGGACCGCAGGCCGATGCTCTAACCGCTGAGCCACACCGGCCGGGCAGTAGTCCACTGGACCGCAGGCCGATGCTCTAACCGCTGAGCCACACCGGCCGGGCAGTAGTCCACTGGACCGCAGGCCGATGCTCTAACCGCTGAACCACACCGGCCGGGCAGTAGTCCACTGGACCGCAGGCCGATGCTCTAACCGCTGAGCCACACCGGCCGGGCAGTAGTCCACTGGACCGCAGGCCGATGCTCTAACCGCTGAGCCACACCGGCCGGGCAGTAGTCCTTATTTGAAAGAAGTAACACGCATAGATTGTTTCGTCAGTGATATTCGTTACAGCATTATTAATAACTGTATTTATAATAAAATGTTCTAAAATGTCTTCTAGTTTCAAAATGAGGTTTTGGACCTCCTTATAAACTTCGTAGCCCATTAAGCCGTGTATAAAAATGCACATAAAGATAAACATGCCTGGTGCGGGATGCGGCAGAGAAAAGACAGGCAAATGGCCTGTTAGCAATAGCAGAACCCGGAAGTGAAAACCTCTGAACCATGACACAGGGAAATTATACCGAAATGGGAGCAGAGGTTTAACCAGACCGTCAGAGAGCAAATAAGGTTCCGTTGTGTGTGTGTTTCCTGGGGGTTTGTGGTCTCCTCTTTTAACTTTCCTGAATTTTCTAAATTTTGCGTATGAACATTAATCACTTTGGTAAAGGGGGGGAAAAGCCCACGAAACTTCAGATTAAGGGCCGTTTTGCTGTTTGCACCCCGCTGGAGAAACACCGCTTTCTCCTGAAGGTGGGGGTCGGAACCTTTCGCAGAGGCCAGGGCAGAGCGGGCCGTCCCCCCGGCTTCTGAGGGTTCGTCCTGCTCCCCCGCTGGGTTCTGTCACGCCGGGAACGTTCTTCCATAATGTTTTCACATTAAAAATGACCTCCTAGCCCGGCCCGTGTGGCTCAGGGGTTGAGCGTCGACCCTGCACCAGGAGGTCGCTGGTTCGATTCCCGGTCAGGGCACGTGCCCAGGTTGTGGGTCTGATCCCCAGCAGGGGGCGTGCAGGAGGCGGCCAATCGATGTTCTCTCTCATCGATGTTTCCATCTCTCTCTCCCTCTCCCTTCTTCTCTTTCTAAAATCAATAAAGAAAAAACAACAACAAATTTGCTTATTAAAAAAAAAAAAATGACCTCCTGGCCCGACTGTGAACTTCCCAGGTCACTGAGGTTTGGGGGTCACAGCCTAAGGAAAATAAACCAAACGCCTCGATATTTCACCCTCTTGGATTCTGCGTGTTTTTCCGCACTAGCCCACAGACGTTGTTTGTCTTGTCTCCTCTCTGCAGACCCGACGAGGGTGACAGTGCCCCCCTCCAGCATGGATGTCACCGTCGGGGAAAGTATCGTTCTCACGTGCCAGGTGAGACATGATCACTCGCTAGACATCGTGTTCACCTGGTCATTCAACGGCCACCTGATAGACTTCGACAGAGACGGGGACCACTTTGAAAGAGTCGGAGGGGTAAGTGCCAACACCAGACCACCCCAGAAACGCCGCGTGGGAGCGGCCTGCTCAGGCCCCGCCTCAAACAACTTGGTTACGCGTTAAAGAAACACAGTTAGTCTTTGATAATTTTGTTCAAACACCTTCTTTCAAGAAACCCTTAGTTAATTACCCTGTTTCACTGAGCAGTGATAAGATTTGATCCGCGGTAGTAGCGTTTGGATGAGAAATAAATCTTTTATACATAAAAGAGCTTTTCGGGTTTAAAGAAAGAAAATCACAGTGCTTCTCGAGTTAGCTTTAAGGCGACAGGGTTGACCGTGGGCCTCGATAATGCCAGTGTCGGCTGCCTGTGCTTCGCGGTTTCAGGGAGGTCTCACGCACACGAGCGGTCCCACGGAATCCACACGCCTCGCTCAGTGGGCACCGAGCGCTTCCTCCTCAGGGCATCGTCTCAGGCCCGGAGAGATCGGCATGCGTGGGCAGGCAGGCAGCAGGGAGAAGCTCCCCGACGTCAGCTCCGTTTGCCTCCCTGTACCCCTGGTCACAACGACTGGCCTGTGTCGCCCACTGTCCTGGGGAGATGGTGACGGTTACACTGGAACGGAGGAAGGAAACCGAGTTCCTATCATTTCTGGGTGGCAGGAAGCCCTTGCAGGTAGAAATAGGGGCTGAGCTCAAGATTGCTAATCCGAGACGTGCAAATGAAAACCACAGGGAGACATCGCCGCACACCTGCCAGAGTGGCTGTCATCAGTGCATCGACAGACCTCAGGTGTTGGCGAGGGTGGGGCGAAGGAAGCCTCCTGTGTGCTTGGTGGGAATGCAGGCTGGAGCCGCCCCTGTGGAAGACAGCGTGGCAGGTCCTGAGAAAATTAAACCTGGAACTGCCTTGGGACCCGGGGACCCGACTGCTGGTGTGTGTTCAAAGGGACCCAGAATATTCACTTGAAAAAATATACGCACCCTGATGTTCATCATGGCATTATTGACAGTAGCCAAGGTATGAAATAGCCCAAGTGCCTGTCCATAGAAGAGTAGGTAAAAAAAAAACAACCTGGTACATTTACGCAATGGAATATTACTCGGCCGTCATAAAGAATTAACTCTTACCATTGGCAGCAGCATGGGTGGACCTAGAGGGTATTATGCTAATTAAAATAAGTCACACAAAGAAAAATACCTTTGTGGAAAAATCACTTCTATGTGGAATCTAATGAACAAAATAAGTGAATAAACAAAACAGAAACAGAGGACAGACTGGTGGTTGCCAGAGGAGAAGGGTTGGGGGGCTGGGTGGAAAGGGGGAAGGGACTCAGGAGTGCGATCGGCCGTTACAGAATAGTCACGGGATGTAAAGTGCAGGGCAGGGAATAGATCAATAACGTCATAACTGTGGATGGTACCCGCCGGTGCTGGAAATCCCTGGGGACACTTCGTGAAGTTTGTGAGTGTCTAACCACTGTGCTGCACACCTGAAACCAATACAGAATAATGTTGACTGTCAACTGTAATTGGATAAAAAAAAAAAAAAAAAAAAAGCGCAGAGACTGAGACCACGCGGGTGCCCATCCTGGCTCTGCCACTCACAGGTGAGTATTCGCACCTCCTTATGCTCGACCCTCCTGGACAAGAGGGATACGGAGTCCCTCCGACAGGGACACGCGGGCATTCGGGGAGCGAACCGAGGCGAAGCGGCCGGGAGGCTACCCGCCGCGTGTTAAATGCCGCTGAGCACTGTCCAGTAGTTTGTCCTTTGGGAATAGCAACATAAGGGTCCGTAGTTTGGGGTGGGAACCTACATACCTTGTCATTTATTGGGGCTTAGAGAGAAGCCAACTCTCCCACATCTGACCCCCAGGGGGCGCCCTTGCTCACAGGGCTGCCCTCCAGCTGTTGACTAACAGGGCGGGGAAACCAACCTCCACAGGGTGGCGGTGTTCTGGAGTGGACGCCACCTTGGTGACCTGTCCTCACGGTTATTCCAGGGCCAGGCTGGAGAGCAATGTCTAGGGCACACAGACACCCATCCCCGGGAGTAATCAGCCCCCTTCGTCCGATAATCAAACTCGGCGTCTGGGAAACAGATCGGCCCCGTCCTGCATTCGGTGACGCGAGGCATCCGTGGAGAGGCTGGCCGCCCTGATCCGTCGGTCCCGACCTGGGAGCCATCCAAATGCCGGCTCTAGATGCAGGGGTCCAGCACGCGGGCCTCTCCAAATACAGGGTTCCAAAGGATGGGGCACCGGCGCCGGTGGTGGGCTCAGGCAGGTCTGGAGCAAGGCAGTCCCTGCGCCAGGGGCCACGTTACCTACGTTGCCTGCTTCTGCGTGTGGTGGATGAGTCCAGAGACCCAGGGCAGCCACCCCCGAGGTCTCGGCCCCGGAGTCTGCACAGGCAGCCTCCCCATTTCCAAACGGCTGTGGCTCCCCTCCCTCCTGTTTCCGTCAGCCCGTGCAAAAGAAATCCATTAGCCACAGTGCCCTTCACGTGACAACGCTGTTTAGTGCTCATTCACAACTAACCGTAGCCACTGCTTTATCAGCAGGACTCAGCCGGGGATTTGATGATCCGAAACATCCAGCTGAAGCATGCTGGGAAATACGTCTGCAGGGTGCAGACCAGCGTGGACCAGCTGTCCGCCGCGGCCGACCTGATCGTCAGAGGTACGGGCGCGTGGCTTTCGTCCTTCAGGGCGTCCCTGGCGTGTGCGCCTGCACAGGGCTCTAGAACCCCCGGGCTGAGGAGTGATGGGGAAGAGTCACAGAAGCCGAACACGGTACACAGTGGTGAGCAGTCGCGGAGTTTCGGAGCCTCCGTCTCTCAAAGGAGGAGGTTAGGGAAGGCAGAGCGAATCCAGTTCCTTCATGCTGACCACCCCTCCTGGGCCGGCCCGGTGGGTGGCCGCTGGAGCCCAGGTGACCCAGCATGGCTTCCGAGGAATAGAAGCAAGTGGCCCAGGCGGGACCAAGCTGCGATTCTCTGAGGGTTCCCGGAGCTAACCCGGGAGCCTGTCAGGGTTCGGGCTGTCCGAGTGGCCAACAGGCAGTTGTCCCGTTTCCTCTTCTTTCTCTGAGCGGCGTAGTTCTGTCCTGTTCCTGAATCCAGGGCTTTCGAGGGAAACCTCCCCGACACCTGGGCTGCCGTGTAGCAGGGGCGTTCGTGTGCAAACGGACATTCGTGGGGGTTTCTTAGCCTGACCTCGGCCAGCGGCCGGGAACCCCCACGGACTCAGTGCCAAGCCGCACAAACCAGCGTGTCAGGGAGCAGTGCGTGGGCTTTTAAGAAATATTTTCAAATTCAATGTCGACGCTTTGCGAACCGGTGTACACGCCGGCGCGCCGAGGGTTCTCTAACCCATGAGAAGCGAAGCCACTTGGGACGTCAGACTGAGCTCCCACCCACGTCTCCTTCACCCCAGCCGTGGGTGTGTGGGCTTCCTGGGCCGGCAGCACGTTGGGTGCAAGAAAATAAAGTCGGGGGGCTTTCCGATGTGCAGGAGGGTGCATCTCAGTGTACAGAGGACCAGCGTCGTGGGAAACCACAGACGTGGTTCTCTCTGCTCAGGCAGAAGGTCAGGGGTGTGTGGGAGTTAGCAGCTCAAGAGAAGTCAAAGAAAAACAGCTTTTCTGTCCTGGCTGCTTTGGTTCCCTTACGTGGGCTACAAAGCCCTCCCAGTAATGGCACAGATGAGGACCAGGCGAGGGAAAACACCTCTAGACCTGGGTGGTGCTGCCCTCAGAACACCTTATGGAAATGTGTTTATTTCCATTTCTAAATCACCAAAGCTGGTCTGTGCTCCTCTTGGGGACAAAAGAATTCCGTTGCTGAGCATTTATCCTGCATTTAATTAGGATAATGTTCAGATCAGCAGTTTAAACACCAATAAATTACACTAATAAATATTTAAATCAGTAATACTCGAAGTTCTTAAATGATATTGTATACTTCATTTCACAGAAAATAACATTAAATGCCAGGAGGAATTTGCAAACGCAGTCTAAAAGAAAATCTAGTCTAATCAGTTAACAAGGCCCATAAATTAATATGCCACTTTAATCCATAGTCTCGCGTTTCATCCACTCCAGCTACCGTGTGCGGGGGGCCGGCGCAGAGGGGTCCCTGTTGGGCTCTGGCTTCTTGATCCTCTGCCGCGTACTTGATCTAATCTCCAGCCGGCTGCCGGCAGTCAGAAAGGGCGCCCCCCGGGAGGGACACAGAGACACAGACATCTTACCAGCGTGCCCTCTGCTGGGCATGTACCAAAAAAAACCTCAACGAGCCAGGAGAACGTTTGGTTCAGAGGACAGAGATTGCTCATTTAGTTGTTTTGAAAGAGGACCCCACTTCCCCCCAACAGAGCTGGTAAACATTACGTAAGCCGTACCCGCAGGCCGAGGGTGGGGACGCTGGAGCGCAGAGAGCAAACAGCCTGCAGTCGCGGCTCGTCTCCAGCGGCCAAGCTCAGTCCGGCCTGCATGTCCCTCCCAGCTGCCCCCTGCGGGCTCGGCTACTTCCTCTCGGCTTTGTCCCTTGAGGACTTTGGGGAGACACTTTCCTGCTTCTGATTTTAAAGGCCGTCGCAGGAGTGGCCATTAGCGAGAGGGGGCGGTGGGTGGGAAATCTTGCGAGAGAAACGATTCTATCATCTCTGGACGATAAGGGTCAATAAGGGTCCCCAAGACCAAAGGTTACCCCAGTTCTATCAAGGTGGCATTTGACGGACATGCTGAAATGTCACCATGGAAAAGTAATTAATTCCAGCCCACAGATTTCCAGACCTTTGGTACAGGAGTGGGAGGGAGGATAAATTTAGTCTCACCTGTGGGTCTATCAAAGTGACTGGTGAAGAGAAATTTAGGGCATCGCAGGGGGGTGCAGGACTGACTTCCAGGACGAAGCCTTGCTTCCGTGCGGGGTCCAGCGGTGCCTCTGACTGCTCGGCTGGGGTGCAGCGACCCCCCAGGAACATCTCCTGTGCCTGTCGGCCGGGCAGGACCGCCGGACAGTCGTCATCACCTGTCCCTCGCAGTCAGCTCTCGCGGCGGTCGACTCGGCAGCCTGGGGCTCTGCTCTGGCTGTCAGTGTTTCGAGCTTGCCTGCCGACCACTTCCCACCCCTCTGTTTTTTCTGTTTCCAAGCCCTTCTCTAAGGCTGACCCCGTGTCAGAGGCTGAGGTACAGGGGTGGAAACAGTGCCCCCTGGGGAGAGAGGTCGGAAATGCAGGGGCAGAGGCCAGGAGACTGCAGCCCCCTGGGAAGCCATCAGGGGGAGCCGTCGAGACCGGACGCCGGCCCTCTTCCCGGCTGGGCTCTGGCACACAAGCCTGTGTTTGCATGTGCTGTGGGGTGGGTTGGAGGGGACAGGGCAACACTGCCCCCCAAAGTTCTAAAGCCATTTCTGCTCAAATCCACACCCTCAAGGGCAGAAATGACCATTTATCACGGCTGCATTCTCAGGGACAGCGCCGACCCTAGTACGATCCGGGGACTGTAGGATGGAGGAATGGAAGAATCGGGCCCTCGTGGAACCCCGACATTCTCTCTTAGCATCTAGCACAAACACTCTGTGTTTACCTCTTAGTGTTTTCCGCTGGTCTGGGAGCCCCTGGGAGGGGCCGGGTCCCCTTCCTCTCTGTTCCCAGCTCAGAAGGATGCCGGGCACCGGGTAGACACCCAGTACGGAGCCAACAAGGGGGGAGTCTGTGGCGGGTGATCACTCCCCTGGACATTGGGACCCTGCTCCACTCCTGAGGGTCTTGCTCTTTGGCAGGTCCCCCAGGCCCCCCGGAGGCCGTGACCATCGATGAAATCACTGACACCACCGCTCAGCTCTCCTGGAGGCCGGGGCCGGACAACCACAGCCCCGTCACCGTGTACGTCATCCAAGCCAGGACTCCATTCTCCGTGGGCTGGCAAGCCGTCAACACAGGTAGCCCTCCGGGTGCCCGGGGCTGGGTTCACAGGCCGCCGAGACTCAGGCGGAAGCAGGTGGCAGAGGCCGAGGACATCTGGGCCCTCGTGCAGACACAGTGACCGATGACACCCACTGTGGCAGTGTTTCCCAGACCTGGGCCAACTGTGCTGTGGTTTATTTAACACTTTGCTTCATATCAGCTCGCTCTCGTTTGTCTTGTAACTCACCCTAAGCAATAAGGTCTGTGAAATGACAGGTTTGTGATGTTGGTTGTTTTCTCTCTCTTTCTCTCTCTCTCTCTCTCTCTCTCTCCCCGTTGCCTTTGACCAGGAATTGAACCTGTGACCCTTCAGTGTGTGGGCTGAACTCTAACCACTGAGCCACACCGGCCAAGATGATTATATTGTTCTCTTAACACACATTTTATTTATTTATTTGTTTGTTTGTTTATTTATTTATTTATTATCCTCACCCGAGGACACTTTTGCACTCATCTTCAGACAGAGCAGGAGGAAGACAGAGAGAAACATCGATGTGAGAGAGGCACATCGAGTGGTCGCCACCCACATGACCCCATCCAGGGCCGGGGACAAACTGCAACCAAGGTTCCCTTAGCGGGAACCGAACCCGGGACTCTCTGGCCCGCAGGCCAGCACTCTGACCGCTGGGCCACACCAGCCAGGGCTGACAAGGTGTTCATGACACAGAAGGGCCGTGGTTCTCGGCTGCAAACAAAGCACTGAGACAGTGGAGGGGGAGGCGGGGGGGGGATGCTCCAGGGGATAAAGGACAGCAGCCAGGGCCTGCTGAGCCCTCACCGGGGTTCCCAGGGTGCTGCAGTGGATACTTCAGTGGCCCCGGGGAGGACACCGCGGCAGGGAAAGGCTGGGCAGCCCGCCCAAGGTCATGTGGCTACTGAGTACGGGTTCAGGATCAGCATCCAGGGTCTGACCCCAGAGCCCACACCTCGCCTTGGGGGGTAGGACTGTCCGTGTGGCCCCGCGAGGCTGGCAGCCGCAGAGCCCGGTCACCAGAGGCCTCAGGGGTGTCACAGGACCTCCCTCCGAACATCCTGGGTCCGAGGAAGTCTCCGGCCGTCCCTGTCACTCAGGACGGCGCCCAGGGAGCACGCGAGGGCCGCCCAGAGCGTCCTGCGGGGAAGGAGCCCCGGAGCTCTGCTGTGGACGCTGAGCTTCTCCGCCCCGGCTCCCACCCCTGTCCCCCCGCCGTCCCTTTCATGGTCACCCCTTCCTTCGGCCCGTCCCAGCTCAGGGCCCGCAGTGCGATGGACGCACACCAGGCCTGCTCCGTAAGGGGCAGAGCTGGGAGCCAGCAGGAGACAAAGGACAAACCCCGTGTGACCTTGGGTGGGTCACTGCGCCCTTGAAGGCGCGTCTTCCTCAGCTCGGAAAATGAAGACGGTCCTTTTCCCCTGCAAACGGCATAGGCCTGGGAACTACACAGTGTGTCCGGCCGGGGCGGCTCAGTGGTTGAGCGTCAACCCTGCACCCAGAGGTCGCCAGTTCGACTCCCAGTCAGGGCACACGCCCAGGTTGTGGGCCTGATCCCCAGCGGGGGGCGTGCAGGAGGCGGCCAGTCGATGTTCTCTCTCATCGATGTTTCTCTCTCTCTCCCTCCCCCTTCCTCTCTTTCTAAAATCAATGAAGGAAAACACATTAAAAATAAAATAAAATAAAATTCTCCCAGCAGCCCCTGTGGGAGGATATGACAAATGCAGTCACATGGCTGAGCTGGGGTCCCCACGCCAGGCTCTGTCCCACTCTGTACACTTTGCCAGTGTTTACTGGCCCAGGTTGTGGGCCTGATCCCCAGTGGGGGGCGTGCAGGAGGTGACCCATCGATGTTCTCTCTCATCGACGTTTCTATCTCTCTCTCCCTCTCCCTTCCTCTCTCTCTAAAATCAATAAAGGGAAATTGTTTTAAAAAAAACAAACAGAAAACAATGTGCCCTTTGCTATAACCTGGGTGCTAAGGCACCTTCCTTGGCAGCAGTGTGTCGAGCCTTGAGGAGGGTGTCTTTGGTGACACCCACTGCGGGTGTCTGAGTTCTGGGGTGAGCTCCCTGGAACAGCCGTTTGGGCGGCTACTCAGAGCCCCCACAGCACCCTGGGCGCCGTCCTGGTGGGGAGCACGGAGGGGAGCCCCCGCCTCCCCAACACGGGATGTCTCCTGATGTCTTTCAGTCCCCGACGTCATTGATGGGAGGACGTTCACGGCAACGGTGGTGGGTCTGAACCCTTGGGTCGAATATGAATTCCGCACCGTGGCAGCCAATGCGATTGGGATTGGGGAGCCCAGCCCACCCTCCGAGAAGCGGAGGACAGAGGAGGCCCGTGAGTAGCACCCAACACACATGGTCCCCTGGGCCTGCGGCTTGTCCCGCGCGCCAGCCCCTGTACATGCTTCCCTGGGCTTAGCGAGCGAGGCAGGCCTGGCCCGCGGCTGACCCGCAGCGAGTTTCACACGAGTCGACTGCTTCCTTTTCCCCGGGGCGCTGTGCGGGGGACACACTGTGCCAGGGGCTCTCCAGCCCCAGCCCTTCCTTCACTGGCCCTTTGCCCCCCAGAACCCCCACCAGGACGGATCAGTTTACACACAGCTGATTGCAAATGGAAGCAGTTCAGGAGAGCAGTAGTGGCCAAGGGGGAGGAGCAGTAGTGGCCAAGGGGGAGGAGCCAGTCGGATGTCTCAGGGTGTGAGCCATTCCCAGGAGCTGGGGCTGGGGAGCGGCTCCCACTCGTCCCCAGGGGCCCGCTCAGAACTTTCGTCTGACCCCGAGCTTCAGTGACCACAGGGCGGGAGTGACATGGGCTCTGGGTCACTTGCACCCACCTGTGAGCAAACGGGGCCTGGCCTTGGGGCTGCCCCGCTGGGATGAGGCCCTCTGTTTGCTGCAGGACTAGCAGGGACCCCCACAGACGGGACTCAGACCTTACTCCTGGACAGAACCCAGGACATGTATCTCATCAGCTAGAACCAGGGACATGGCCGGTCACCAGCTCCACCCCCAGCCAGACCTCCTTACCTCCTGTCGGGAGTCCGTCATTTACATGACGACAATCTAGCCCGTCCCCAGGTCACACCGGGACTGAGTTCATTCCGCTCAGCCGTCCCCAGGGGCAGCTCGCGGAAGGTCCCGCCTTTCAGCAAGAGGTCCTGCCTTTCACCAAGAACACAGGGGTCAAAGCTGCCGTGAGCAGTGGGTGGGACAGCCTCTGCCCCTCCCCCTTACCTGCTCTCACTCCCCTTCCTCTGGGAGCCGCCAGCCCAGCCCTGAGCAGCCCCCGCACGCGCCAAGCACACGCAGCACGCGCCAAGCACACGCCACGCACGTGCCGGCACACTCCCTCTGTCGCCCTGCTGCTCCCCGTGGGCGTGTGCTGTGTCTGTGCCCCGCCCCCGCGTGACCAACCGGTGGTTAGTAAACTCCTGCCAGGCCTAAGAACCAATCCCATGCAGTCCTTCCCTCATCCGATGACCCTTGGGCTCCAGGGCCGGGCGGAGCCAGTGGTCAGTCCTGTCCCAGGACACCTGTACCTTGTTGAATGGGAGACAGGTGACGAGTAGCAATTTCCTGGGTGCATTTCACTCTCTCGAGGTGATGCCTTGGGCCCTTGGCCACGTGGTCTCTGATCTCCAAAGACCAAGGTGTGTCTTTCTGTCTCCCGAACAGTCCCCGAGGTCACCCCAGCTAACGTCAGCGGTGGTGGAGGCAGCAAACCTGAGCTGGTTATAACCTGGGAGGTGAGTGAGTCACCAAACAGCAGGAGTGTCCCTCCGTCAGTCTGGCTCTTCCCTCGTTTAATTCTGAATCCTCACCCGAGGGTATTTCCCATTTATCTTCAGATGGAGTGAGAGGGAGGGAGACAGAGGGAGGGAGGGAGAAACCTTGACATGAGAGGGGCACATCGAGTGGCTGCCTCCTGCACGACCCCGACTAGGGCCGGCGACAAACTGCAGCCGAGGTCCGTGCCCTGGCCCGGAGTCGAACCTGCGACTGGTTCTAGGGCCCACGCTCTAACCACTGAGCACACTGGCCAGGGCTGGTTTTTCCCTCTTTGCAAACATATCCAGAAGGTCCCTCCTGTTCTATCAGCCGACATCTGTGCAAACCCTCCCTGGCAGTAGTTCGAGGCTGGTAGGACCGGATGGTCCCTGCCCATCAGCTGGTGAGTTAAGTTTTAAGTCGACTCAGCGCAGGGCAAACGATCATGAAAGAGAAGACAACCCAGGGAAAGATGTCGCTACTAAAGGGGCCTGGTCACAGAAACCCGGGTTTTGTCCCTTCCCAGTGGCCACCTGGCCTGGGGACCGGCCGCCCGCAGTCCACCGGCCGAGGCAGCAGGTTTCCCGGCGGCTGGCTGTGCTCTGGGGCCTCCGTGATGAATCCTCACCTGAGGGTATGTTCTGGAGACTGGAGGGAGGGGGGAGAGAGAGAGGGAGAGAGAAACATCAATCGGTTGCCTCTCGTCCCTGCCTCAGCGGGAGACGGAGCCACAGCCAGGTATGTGCCCTGACGGGACTCGAACCTGCCGCCCTTTGGTGTGCGGGCCGATGATGCCCCAGCCAACGGAGCCACCCATCCAGGGCTACGAGGGGTGTTTACACAACCTAGGGGAAGGTTAGTCACTAACTTACCAACAGTGGATTTTGCGAGAAGAGGTGGGAGTTGGGAAAGGGTCCTCTGTGTTCAGGGGGGATTCTCGACAAGAGCCCGGAGGTTAGAATCTTTCGTTCCGCACAAGCCCCAGCAGGCTCCAGCTCACCCCTTCAGGGTGGAGACGGAGGTCTTGCCTGGGCCAAGGTGGTCTGTGCAGCTGCAGTGAGGTCTTTGTCTGTTTGGTGCCGGGGCAAGCTTTGCATTGGGTGGTGCATGCTGGCCTCGTCGGGTTCCGGGTCAGCTGCCCAGGCGTCTCCAGCTGTTTCAGAACTGGGTCTGAGCCAAGCTGTCCACTGCAGATTTGTTTTTCTTTATTGACATCAGAGAGAGAGATGGAAACATCGATGAGAGAGAACATCGATTGGCCGCCTCCTGTGTGCCCCCACTGAGGACTGTGCCCACAACCTGGGCATGTGCCCTGACCAGGAATCGAATCGGCGACCTCTTGATGCATGGTCGACGCTCAACTACTGAGCCACACCAGTCAGGCCCATTGCAGATTTTTTGTTGTTTTTTGTTGTTGTTGTTGTTTTATCCTCACCTGAGGACATTTTTGCATTTATCTTCAGACAGAGCGGGAGGGAGAGGAGGAAGAGAGAGAGAGAGAAACATCGATGTGAGGCACACGGACTGGTTGCCACCCACATGACCCCAACTGGGGCCGGGGACTACTCTAACCAAGGTACGTGCCCTCAGCAGGAACCGAACCCGGGACTCTCTGGTCCACGAGCTGACGCTCTAACTGCTGAGCCAAACCGGCCAGGGCCCATTGCAGATTTTTATTGAGTTTTTTAAAATCCTGTCCTCACCTCATGGGTACCCTGAGGTGCACTGAGGGCAAACCCCAGATGCGAGCCTCGTGCCGAAGCCCAAGCGAAGACAGGCTGGGAAGAACAGACAGGCGTCTGGGGGAGGGGTAAACAATGTTGGCGCTGAGTCCAGTCGCTGAGTCAGAACCTCTCTGTGCCAACCTCCTCCTCCCAGGCGGTCCCCGAGGAGCTGCAGAGCGGCAGGGGCTTTGGCTACGTGGTGGCCTTCCGGCCCTACGGCACAGCCATCTGGATGCTGACCGTGCTGGCCTCGGCCGACGCCTGCAGATACGTGTTCCGGAACGAGAGCGTGCGCCCCTTCTCCCCCTTCGAGGTCCGCGTGGGCGTCTTCAACAACAAGGGCGAAGGCCCCTTCAGCCCCATCGCCGTGGTGTACTCCGCAGAAGAAGGTACGGCGTGTGCGCCCAGCCCGGGAAGGGCCCGCAGCTCGGGACGTGGGGCGCGGGGCGTGCAGTCAGGTGACCTCGCGGGAAATCCTGGTGTGGGGGAAGAGTGGTGTGAAAAGGTGTGGTCAGCCGTGCCCCACCATCTCTTAGGAAGGCAGCAGGTACAAACAAATGGCCGTCGTTACAAATTCTGTCACTAAGGACCCAAAGGCAGGTTCGGCGGACAATGTTCAGATCTATTTACACATCAGTGTCACCTTCAAAAGTGCTCTTGCCCTGGCCGTTTGGCTCAGCGGTTGGAGCGTCGGCCTGCGGTCTAGAGAGTCCCAGGTTCGGTTCCCGCCTGGAGAGTCCCAGGTTCGGTTCCCGCTAAGGGCACGTACCTCGGCCCTGGTTGGGGTTGTGTGAGTGGCAGCCACTCTATGTGTCTCTCTCACGTCGATGTTTCTCTCTCCCTCTCTTCCCCCCTCTCTCCCTCCCGCTCTATCTGAAGATAAATGCAAAAATGTCCTCGGGTGAGGATAAAAAAATAAATTTGAAAAAGAGCTCTAGTCCATGGTATTTCATTAAGTGAGCATCAGGATAGAATCCGCGTGCCTCTCACCATTTACTTCTCCCGAGTGTGTGGAACGCGCCGGCCACTCTGTGTGATCAGAGAGGGAGCCGTACAGTGACGTGACACTCACTGCCGTCCCCAGTGTCCTCACACATTGTCACTGCCTCTGCGCCCTCCCTCCCATCACCGTCCCGCTCACCCCATCCTCGTTGCCATGGGAGCTTGTCTTCCTTGTCGCAAAGGTGATGTTCATGTGACACCACCCTAGAAAGTTGAGTCACTGGCTTGGAGTAGGTGAGGACGAGACTCTTCCGCCCAGACGGGGAGGCAGCCCCTCAGCCTCAGGCCCCCTCTGCCGCCGGCCGCTGCCTCTGTTCCCGGCGCCCATGGCTCCCCTGTAAACACAATCCTGCCATGTCCAAGGACTTGTCATCATCCAGACAGGCTTGAGCCCCGGGTGATGCTGCCACTTCTGAGAGTCCCTCGTGCTGCCCACCTTGTGAGTCCACCCTTGTCCCTCAGGTCTCAGCGAAGATGACCAGGGCCTTCTGGGTCCCAGGCCAGAGGAGCTCAGCATGTCCCAGTGTCCTGGTGTCCCTCTAGGGTGTGTCCATTGTCTAGCCCCACAGATGGGCCAGCCAGAGGAGCACACAGCTGGATCGCAAATGGTACCAGGCGGACTTTAAACCTATGTAACAGTTACACGGGGATTTGAGTTGCATTAGAAGAAAATGCAGCTATCAAATCAAAACCAGGGTTTCACGAACAGCATTGCTCACGGCATGGCTAAGTGTTTCTTTAGGAAAGACGCCCAGCGGAGAATGTTAACATAGAAACATGGTACAAAGTTTGGGCAAAACTTGTAAGAAATAAATAAATACCTGAAATTAGGGAAATAGTATTGATCTAGACTCCGCCCCCGAGGCTGTCGGGACCCCGAAGAGTCGGTGACTTGCTCCAGGTCACACGTTTGCTGTCCCGAATCTCAGGTCAGCTGACGTCTTGCTTCCTTCCTCTGTCATAGTCAGAGCCCAGGGACGAGGACTCTGGCCTGTGACATTGCTAACTAGGAAGGACGTGTGTTCAAGGAGTCGCTGGCTATGAAAAGTCGGCGCTAAACTTAATCGTAGGCGGCTGCCCTCCCCCGCCCCCAGGTCAGCAGCCAGGACCCGGGACCCGTCCTCGCCCCCCCTGCTGTCCGCCCTGGCTCCTGTGCAGTGAGGGTCAGGTGCACCTGCCACGGGCGATGCTGGGACCTGGGTTCCTTGCACCCGATGGATAACACCTTTTTCCGTCCTCCTCTGCAGAACCCACCAAGCCGCCAGCCAACATCTTTGCCAGGAGTCTTTCCGCAACCGACGTTGAAGTTTTCTGGGCCTCCCCCAGGGAGAAGAACAGAGGACGGATACAAGGCTATGAGGTCAGCAGGAGACGGGTGTGTGGGTCTGGAAAAGGGTCCCTACCCCTCGGCGAGCCCTCCACGACACGCTCCCGTGTGGAAACCCTTGTCGGGGGGCCTGGCTTGTAGGGAGCATCAGTAGAGGGAGAGGATGCCCCCCGGTGAGCCCACCTCTCTAGGAGCTGCGTTCAAGACAGACACAGGCCTGAGCATGTATAAGGTGCTGGGCAAGGTGAGCTTGGGCTTCTTATATCCCAGGATCACGGGGGCTCAAAACAAAGGTGGGAAAAGGGAAAAAGAGCCAACGTGGTTGAACCAATTTACCATCTCACCAAGAGCTTAAGAGCAAAGGGGCCGGCCGGCGTGGCTCAGCGGCTACGTTGACCCTGCACCAAGAGGTCGCTGGTTCGATTCCCGGTCAGGGCACATGCCCAGGTTGTGGGCCCGATCCCCAGTGGGGGGCGTGCAGGAGGCGGCCAGTCGATGTTCTGTCTCATCGATGTTGCCATCTCTCTCTCCTTCTCCCTTCCTCTCTCTCTAAAATCAATAAAGAAAAAAAAGTTTTAAAAACCAGAGCCAGAGGGCCCCGCCTGGGCAGTTCCTCAGCCCTCTCAGCTCTAACAGCTGCTGAGTGAAGCCCCCAGGGAATGTCTGGGTCACAGGATCTGGGTTATAGAGCGTATGACCCGAGGGCAGTGCACATATCCCCGACGGGTGTGGTTCCCGATGTCTCCCTCAGGTGAAATACTGGAGACATGATGACAAGGAAGAAAACGCTCGAAAGATACGAACCTTTGGAAATCAGACATCGACGAAAATCACCAACTTGCAGGGCAGCTCCCTGTACCACTTGGCGGTGAAGGCGTATAACACGGCAGGGGCGGGCCCCTCCAGTGCCACAGTCAACGTGACAACCAGAAAGCCCCGTGAGTCCAGCCCTGCTCAGAAACGTCCGGGGTCCATCAAACATCCAGTCCGTTCCCCTCCCGCCGCCCTCTGCTCATCTGCATACTAATTGCATCATTACTGCATGGATTCGGATCGACTGCAGCATTTTAATGGAGCCTTTCTGAACTCCGTGCAGGATTCATTCCTCCAGAGGACAGAAAGATTCACGGTTTCCTCCTCGCGGGGAAGGGCGACTCCTCTTAGTTCTAAATGTTAGGCGACCAACTGAATCTTTTTCCATTTGCGTTGCTGTACGTCGCCAGATTTCAGGGCCCTTGAAGACACATATTAGTGCAAAATAGCCCAGTAGAGCGCCTCCACTCATAGATCCTACTAAGGAGATGGGCGTCACAATCCATTGAGACGTAATAATTTGCGACCTCGTGTATCTTAATTTCTTACAGCTCCGAGTCAACCCCCCGGGAACATCATATGGAATTCGTCGGACTCCAAAATTATCCTGAACTGGGACCAAGTGAAGGCTCTGGAGAACGAGTCGGAAGTGAGAGGCTACAAGGTGGGTCCTTGTGCCGGCCGGTGTGGCTCCGGTGTGGCTCCGGTGTGGCTCGGTGGCTGAGCGTCGCCCCAGGCGCCAAGGTGGGTCCTTGCGCCGGCCGGTGTGGCTCCGGTGTGGCTCCAGTGTGGCTCCGGTGTGGCTCCGGTGGCTGAGCATCGCCCCAGGCGCCAAGGTGGGCCCTTGCCTTTCTGCAAAGGCCGTTAGTGAGGACAGTCTCCTCCCATGAAGCACAGGGAACAGGGTCCCCCCATCGCTGACCACGGTCTTCAAGACCCTGGGTTGTGGTCTGAGTCTGGCAACTGGTCCGTGGCCGCGGCCAGGATTTGGACAGTTGTTCGACCGAGGCTCAGGCAGAGGGGGTCAGACGTGGGGCGAGGCCCAAGGCAGGGTCCGCACAGCAGCATGAAGAGCTGTGATCGGAACGTCTCTGCTCCCAGCTCTGGTCCCTTCTTGTCCTGCTTTGTCCTTTCTAAATCGATGACCGTGACCTCAGTCTCGCTAATGCTGAGTCATGTCTGCTCATGTCCCTACATTAGGAAGACACACCTACAGGGAAGAGGCAAGGGCGTTTTTCAGAAAATTCGTTTGCCTGACTTTATTTTCTCACGTCTTTTTTTTTAAATGCATCTTTTTTTTTTTTTGAGCTAACGTAAATGTTTATTGAATGAAAACATGCGTTGTTGTATAACCTTAGCTTAACACGAGGGCCTTAGCTTAACCCTCTGCAGTCTCCTAAAAATGTATCTTCATTGTTGAAAGTATTACAGATGTCCCCCCTTTCTTCCCCATGGACACCCTCCTCCCCACCCCCACTCCCTCCTGCCTTCCCGCACTGCTGTCTGTGTCCGGTGGTCGGACATAGCACTCTTTGCTTTATCTCTTCCTGCCCTCCAACCCCTCCCTCGGAGGGTTGTTAGTCTGCCCCCTACATCCATATCTCTGGATCTCTCTTCATCGACAGCTTATTTTGTTCATGATGTTCCGCAAATAAGTGAGATCCTGTGGCCCTTGTCTTTCTCTGACTGGCTTATTTCATTCGGACTGATACTTTCCAGGTCCCTCCTGTAGGAAATCACTTGTCCAGGTGAGTCCCGGAGCCTTCCGGCGGCCACAGGGGGCCACACAGCAGGCCGGTGGCCTCACGCCCGGCGGCAGCCTCTAATCCCCCCAAGGGCAGGGTAGCTGCAGAGAGGCCCCTGCCCACCACGAGCCCTCCAGGTGTGGGCGGGCAGCCTGACAACCTCGGCTCCCCCTCACGTCTCCGGCGCCCAGCGGGGGAGACAACGCCCACCATCGTTGGCCTTTGTGAGGACAGCAGGTGACGCCGGTCCCTTCTGCATTGGCAGGTCTCATACCGATGGAACAGACAGAGCCGCACATCTGTCATCGAAACAAATCAGACCTCGGTGGAGCTTTCTCTGCCCTTGGATGAAGATTACATCATCGAAATCAAGCCGGTCAGTGATGGGGGCGACGGCAGCGCCAGCGGACAGATCCGCATCCCAAAGATGACAAGTAAGAATGCGTTTCCCTCCTCCCCGCCTGCCTTCTGCCGAGGCTGCACAGGGAGGCCGGCCCAGCAGCCTTCAGCCACAGACAGCACCCGCCCTGCCTCGGCCTGCGCCTTGGCCGCTGAGGTCTGCGGGTCACAGGCAGCTCATGCAAAAGACAGTTTGACTAGTTTTGACTGATTTAATCTGTAACCAATCAGAACACCAGTTTAAAGCGGCTCCCACTCGGTCCCCCAGATGGCCCGTGTAGTTGCGTCTACAATAGCCCCAAAGCTGAGCGCAGGAAGTTAAAAGTGCGACCCAGTCAGAAGGTTTTCAGCTGGAGCAGTGTCTCTGGCGACGCAGTGTAACACCGTCTTAGGCTGGAGAGATGGAAACTTGGCGCCGCTCATTTTGATGTGTGTGGGTAACGTATGAACATAAATACACGCGGGGCTACAGAGTCCAAGTCGTCTTTGTTTCCAGAGTGTTGGACAGTGTGGGAGAATCAGAGCAGGGCAAAGGCAGGGTGATAGCTGTTCAGATGGCAGAGAACACGTAGTTAATCAGTAGTAACATGAGAATAAAGGCGCACACTCCCCACTGTAAGCCTACGTGTGCCGCACCCTGCATTCATTTCTGAACAGATACATTCATCCCCATGTGTCAGACACTTTGTTTGCAAATATCTCAGCAGCATGTTTTTGGTGGTTGTTGAGTGATCTCATTTATTTGAAGGAAAAACTAAAACTCAGAAAATGGGCAAATTCAGAGACGAATCGGACCAGTGGCTGGCAGGGACTGGCCAGTGGTGTGAGTTGTGGCTTAATGGCTACTGGGTTTCCATTGGGGATGATGAGAAAGTTCTGGAACTAGACAGTCATGCTGGTTGCTAGATCTGTACATGTAGTTGTTACCTGGACTTTGGATTTAATAAGAGGTTCATAAAGGTTGGAGATAGGAATTCCCAGGCCCCCAGTGGAGAGATGAGTTTCAACCACGGACAAAATCCTTCCCACAGTCCTGAGTTTCACCCCTACCGGGGAGTGTCCAGTATCTTATTTTCCAGGTGTAGAAAGGGTCTAGTGTGTCCTGGGGACACCAAGTTATAGTAGAGCACGTGCTAAGCAGTGGTAATTGCGCCTGTGTGTACACTGGGAGGGCTCCAATCAGAAGAGAGCCTGCTCGCTGGACGCCACACCCGCCTGCATCCTCGCCCCCGGCCTGGCTGGGGTCAGTGGTCGCTGGTGCGACAGACAGAGCAGGATGGAGCTGGGACTCCCAGGCTCAGGAGTGACTCACCAGTTTCCAGGTGGAATTCTCCTCCATGGTATCTGTTTTGCACACAAACATTACGGGCAGTTTTTGTCTTTTCAAAAGCTGAGCCGTCTTGCATTCCACGCCTCAGGCTCTGACTTGGCTGCAGGGGAGCCAGAGTCGTGGGAGACAGAGAGGTGATGTCCAGGATACGGCATTGCAGGGCCGCGCTTAGGGCTCAGTTCATCTCACTCTGCTGAAATCGGACCTCGTCCCTTCTTATCATCGCAAGGATTGCTGTCCTGTAGGCTGACTGGTGGCCCTTGGTGGGATCCATTACAAAAGCACACTTTAAGCAATTCCGCTGGTGTAATTATTAGATGACAAGGTTGTGACTGTGAGCGAAACAAGACTTCGTCTAGAGATCTCCGTCGTGTCGGTCAGAGATCTTGAGATCTTGAAGAAACCTCAGGTCATATAGTTGGTAGCCTCTTACCGTGGAGAACGTAAGGCCTGTAAGGAAAAGTTTAGAAAGGATTGAGTTTGGGTTTCTGGTTTTTGGTTTGTTTTTTAAGGGATATATCTAGACAGACATGAGTGTGAATCCCAATTCAGTTCATTATGAGTCTTGATCACAGACCAGTTACCTCGCTTCCCTGCCCCGTGTCCTCGCCTGTAGATGGTGTCGTAACAACAGCACGTGCTCCTGGGGGTTGGTAAGGATTGGCGGAGTGCCCTGTGCTCAGCACAAAGGTAGCGCTGAAAAGGAAGCTGCAATGATCACTCTGCAGCGTCGCTGACCCATCCTCGTTACCCGTAACTACTCGCGACGTCCAGGTTTCTTCTTCTATGGGGGCGGCCTCCTTCTTCAAAAGCGCCCATGGAGGTGCAGAAATGTCCTCTACCCTGCTCCCAGGTCCATAGCTGGACAGTCACAGAGCCGATGTCCAAGCGGTTAGGCCGTGGTCCGTTCGGGTGGAACCAGCAGCGGCCCGTGTCCCCCGGCCCGGCCTCTTCCCCCGCGGCCGGGGCGCAGCGCCGCTGAGCACCCGCGTTCTCTCTCCGCAGATGCCTACGCCAGGGGCGCCGGGCCCTCCACCTCCACCGCCTGCACGCTGTCGGCCCTCAGCACCCTCATGCTGTCGCTCACGGCCAGGTCCAGCTTATGACGAACGTCCGTGGCCCCAGGACTGCTGTCTGTGACATCAGCAACATTTAGCGCGTTGTTTTGAAGACACCCAGTACTAAGTAATATTGTCGTTCGGGTACATCTTATTACTGGAAAAAAAAATGTTTTTGCTTCCTTAGGAATGGCATTATACAGAACTTCCTCAAAGCGTCTCCCGGCTCCGCGTTTCCCTGGAAACGCTGCAGTGCACTGAAGACATCTGTAACATGATGTTACCAAAGCAGTTTACATATGTCCTTATATGCATATTTTTATTATATATTTAGTGTTTTATAGAATTTTTTAAAGTTAACATGAAATGTAGATATTAATTTTTTTCCTCGGCTATAAGATGCAATGAGCACCACAATCATGCAATTATTGTTTGAAAAGATTTCCTTTAAAGACAGAGTGTGAAACTCATCTCGGCGAACACGTCGGAAATCACTTGGACGGCTTTGCAAGGATGGAGACGGCCGGAGGCCTGGCCCGTGGCTCTTGGGGCGACTCCCACGGTGGCGCGGGTCCTGGGGCGTGTCCGGTCTGTTTTCCTGCTCTGCTGTGAATGTTGTTGTTCTGCACGACGCGAGATGGTTGCAGGAATGGCTGCACTTTGGAAACGTAAACCGAGAGGTCCCTTGTGCAATACGATCACCCTGGACTTCGCATGGAACAGTGACTTCCTCTCCACCCTCCTCAGTTAGCATCGTCTCTGTAGTAGCATCATCTTAGACATGACGTTTGAAGTTGCATATCCTGTAGTAACACAGACCCCACGTTACTCTAGTCTTTCCGAGACTGAAAGGTAATTTTACTCTCTTTAAATGTATCTGTTTGAATGTACATTTTTAAAGCAAAATAATTCTCTGTTCATGGAGTCAGAATTTCTTATATGGAATACATGTATCTCTTTAATAATAGAGCCCTTCCTTCGGGTCAGAACCATGTCTGGATTTGGCAGGATTCTCTTCCTGCAAACGGTCGCTGCGAAGAGTGTGTCCCGTGACTCCACAGAGGCCCGTTGGTGCAGTTGTGTGGTATCTCTATGAACCTCCTGCCCCTCAGGCCGAGCCTAGATGCTCTACAAGCTTGGCCTTGTGAGTCTTAAAATCACATGTTGGAAAATGACAATACCAACAGCAACATATTCTGACGAAAGACCTAGTTGTTACAACGGGGGAGGTTTTGTAGCTGATGCCAGTGGTCCAGTGTGTGTAAGGCAATGACATTTTCTCCACGCATTTGCACACGTAGACATGCTGCCACCTTCTCTTCCGCAGAGAGCTCAGCAGTGTGTCATTTTTACTCCCCAGATAACACGCATTCACTGTGCAACCTTCTAGCTACATTTCTCCAACAGAGTCATGATCAACCCTTCCACGTGTGTGAAACTAGGGTGGTTCCAGGAAGAATATTGTCAGTATTTCAAGCTGTGTCTTCCTTAGTTTGACATGGTTACTTCTATGTTAAAATGAACAAAATTTAAAATCACACACACACACCCCAAAATAATAAAATGAATGAAAAAGAACTTTGAAAAAGCCACCCCAGGTAGTTCCCAACCCCAGCGTCAACGGTATTTACCAGTGATATAGCAGCATATGTAATCTTTTTTTAAAGGCGTTGTTAATAAATATTCTGTCATTTGTAAAGAGCCTTGTCTTTCAGGAGCTTTCTTCCGGCCTGTCCGTCAGGGGCTTGGTTAGCTCACCCTGTGCTAGTTACAGTCGGAGATCACCTCACAAAGGAACTCAAGGGTCTCTGGCCAGGAGCCAAAGCTAGAGGACCCCAGACATCCCTTTCAAGTCCCCTTTGCAAGTCGAGAGGGTCAAAATCCACAAAGCAATCAAACTTGAATACTTCCTCTTAATTAGCTAAGTCCGTATCTTTAATCTAAGGGTATCTGCTATTTGAAGGTTCCCCCCACCTCCTTGTTAAAAAATAAAACCTAAACTTGAGCATTTAAGGCCCTTTTAAATCTACTAGCAAGTGGACCCTGGCCCCAGCCACAGGGAGCCCTCCCTGGCCCCGAAACACTGCTTGCTCCCCGGCTCACCTCTGTGCCTTTGGGCCACACAGCTGCCCCTTCCTGCAGCCACGCTCCCGCTCCTCCCCCCGGCCCCCCAAATCCCTAGTGTCCTCGGCTGCGAAGCCTTCGACGCGGCCCTCTGCAAGGCCCTGCGTGAGTTAGCGGCAGGCTATCGGGCCACTGGTGCAGCAGTCCAGGTCCTCGGGGAGCTGTCGCGTGCTGTTCGGCACCTTGCCTTCCACTGACTCCTGTATTGTTACTCAGTTGTCCTTGTACGAATGCCTTGTCTTCCCAACTAGATTGTAAGCTCCTTGGGGGCAGGGACGCTGGTCTATCTTCCATGTTCTCTCCATAGTGCCTAGCACCGTGCCTTGCAATAAATACTCATTGATGACTTGATCGAAGGGGTCTTTGAAGTAGCGTTTTGCCTCAGTTGCCCGCCTGCGTGAACCAACCAGGGAAGACCGCCGCTGCTTCTGCGAGGTGGCGGACAGCGTTAGTGGCCTGGCTCCTACCCTGAGGCCCCGACGGGTCCTTGAGTCCCAGCTCCGTGATCTGATACATCGGCCCTGGATGAGCTGAGCCAGAGTCTGGAGATGCCTTCACCCGAAGGTGTCTGCCCCTTGGCCTCCGTGGGCGCTGCGGTCGGGGTTGGCTGGCAGCACGCGGCGGAGACAGCCCTGGCTGACCAGCGAATGTGGAGGATGACGTGGGTGAGAGTGTGTCAGCCAGGGAGCTGCGCAACCAGGCCTCAGGGAGAATAAGAGCCAGGCCCTCTGAGGACCTAGACTGCAGGGCGCTGTTGTGGGGATAAATCAGCTCTTTTTCCAATTTTGATAGCCCTCTGCTCAATATCTGTAATTCTAGGAGAGACTGAGCAGTCCGACTTGTGTCCCGCGGCCAGAGCACCTTGATCACGCCAGGCCTGCACTCACAGGGAGGGACAGTTTGCGAAAGGAAAACTGAGATGGTGTTTTCAGAAGGTGGGATGATGGATACTGGGAAGGTCTAAGGAACACGCTTTCCCGGTGATCGGAGGGGCACACGAGGAAAGGGCCTCTTTGCTTATTTAGCCTTTTAGGGTGCTTTCTCTGAGCCTCTTGTTTTGTGGGTGACCCGGGTGATTTACCTGGGTAGGAGGGAAGTCTGTTTTGCCAGGTCACTAGATTCTCTTCATGTTCCCAGTCTTCACGGAACTCGCACAGCCTCTGGACAACACCCATCTCTCCCGGGAGCAGAAGGCACGGGTGACACCGCTTGTTTCCAGGTGAGCGCGAAGTTTGTCCTGCCTGTCACACTGCCGTAGCTCCGCTCTTACGACAGAATGACCAGCAAGTGTTTGGTTGTTTACCTCCTACCCCACTCTAATTAACCTTCCCCCCAGTCTCCTGCCACCTCCCCTTACTGCAGCTACGCTCAAAGAAGGCGGAGTTGTGAGACGTACACAAATAGCTCACGACTACCTACTAAGTGTCACATCATCTTCACAGAATGCCATCACCCAGCAGGTGGTTTTATACACTCTGCCACTGTTCTCCCTGTCCCAGATGGAGAAATGGCGGGTGTTCCGGTTGTTACCATTAGAGTAACTGTCTGGCCAACCATGTGCTTTGAGGAGCCAGCCTTTTAAAATCAAGGATTTAGCGTCAATCTCTGGACATACTCGGAATGATCCCACCACAAGTGACAGACGCCGGGGCTTCCGGGAGGCCTCGCCCGGCGCTCAGAGCGTGGGTCCTGGCGTCTGGCCGCCCCGGTACCTCTGACGCGTGTCACCTGTGATGTGGGATCAAGGTCAGGAAGTCCTACGTGCACATTTGTTACCACCTTTCCTTCGCAGATGTTCGTTTCTGATAGAAATACTAACGTGTGGTCGTTTGCGTGATGAAAGAAATCAAACCACGATGTACCGATAGCAACAGATGAAAGACGAGAGGCCGCAGGGTCCTCACTTGGATGCTGCTCCCCGCTTCTCAGCGGCGCGGTGCCTCCCCTCTGACTTACAGGGCGTGTCGTCTGTGCCCGTGGTGGCTGTCATCTCCCTACCTGACACTGCAGCCACTGCTTCATGTCTGGTCCCTCCCAGTAGACAGAGCCTCTTAGGGTCAGAGTCCAGGTGCGTCTCGACCACACTCCCAGCACCAGGTCCCTGTGCCCGCTCTCACCCCGACAAAGGAGATGATCATATCTGTCACCTTTTCGTGTGACGTGCTGCCCCCTGCCCCCAGCTGGGTGTGATCGCCACATGCCACTCCTGGGAAGCCCCTTGCCCCCTGCTCAACGGGCCGCGCAGACGAGATGGTCCGGCGGCCCGAGGCAGGCAAACCGCAGTGTTCAACACGATCCAGACACCGCCGGCCTCCGGCCTCCCTCACCAGCGGCCGCGGTCAGGGTACACGGTGACGGAAACCCCTGAGAGAGCGTGTTCTCCGAGAAAGGTTGACCGGAGCACAGGCCTAACTGCCTGGACACTGGGCTGAAGTCACGCGCAGGCGGCGGCCCGGGCTCTGTGAGGGCCTGCCGCTCCACCGTCTTCCGCTTGTTACGGCGGCACGGACGACCCCAGGAAGCGGCCGGCCTTGGGGTTTCACTAACGGGGGGGGGGGGGTGAGATGTGTTTGTACAGATTTCAAAGTGTTCTTCCCACCAAGAAGCAGGGGCGCAGGTTTTATCTCTTTTTCACTTAAGAAACGGAGACAACTTGGTGACACACCACCCAGGGCAAGTCAGCAGTTCGAGTCGGAACTGATTTAGAATTCTTAATTCAGTGCACTGAACGCCTAGAACAGCCTGCGGGGGCGCAGGGCGCCGGCCTCCAGTTCAGCAGGAGGCCGTGGTGGGTGCTCAGTGGAGACCGGGCAAGTCCTGATGCTGACCCTCCGCGAGGGGCTGGGGCCGTCGAAGAAGAGACCCCACCCACACAGGACAGAGATGAAGACACTCTGAGGCTGAGATGAAATCACCTGGTTTGGAGTCAGACTGTGGGTGGAGAAGCCAAGGGACCAGGACAGTGTTTTGTCACAATACAGAGAAATGCAATAACAACCGTGGCTGACAATGGTTATGCTTCCTGAGTGTGCCGGCCTCTGTGCAAAGCAGCTGGTGGCCCAGTACTGCTCACTACCCGTATCTGCTGCATGGGAACGGGGCCGAGCGGCTCCGAGGTTTGTCCTGGGTCACACAGCTGACTAGGGAGGCTGGGAGGCAGGTGTTGGCAGCTTGTGGCCCCAGGTCCTCAGAGGCGTGTAGGTAAGTAGACAGGTGAGAGATGAAAGATAGATGATAGATGATAGATAGATAGATAGATAGATAGATATAGATAATATAGATAGATGAGTAGATAGATAATAGAGCTAGATGATGGATGGATGGAGAGGTGATAGATGATAGATGATAGATAGATAGATGATAGATAGATAGATAGATAGATAGATAGATAGATAGATAGATAGATATAGATGATAGATAGATGGATAGATGATAAATAGATGATAGATAGATGATAGATAGATAGATGATAGATATAGATGATAGATAAATAGATAGATAGATGATAGAGATAGATGATGGCTGGATGGATAGATGGGTGGATGGCTGGATGGATAGATAGGTAGGTAGGGATACTGGTTCCCAAGGAGAAGAGAATAAGTCAGTGAGCACCCCAGGAAGCCATACAGCACTGGTGAAAAGCGGCCGGGGTGGGGGGCTGGACTCCAGGTGGACCCTGCACAGACAGCCACACAGCTCGGTGCTGGTTTCTCTGCTCCGAAGTGGCCCAGCGCGACTGCTTCTCCGTCTCTGCTGCAGCCGGTGTTTTCACTTGTTGGTTGTACCTGACTCCAGGTGTCTCAGGGCTGTTTTCAAACCCGGGCTATCCTACAAGACCAAGGTTGCCAGGAAAAAATAAGGGAGGCCCAGTGACACTTGGATTTCAGATTTTTAAAAAGCTTGCACAGTATAAACGTGTCCCGTGCATCTGGCTCATCACCTGTTCTTTATAAATAAAGATCTGTTAGGACACAGCCACGCAGAGACCCGGAGCTCTCACAGCTGAAAATACTACAATCAACCCTTTAAAAAGCTTTTGGCCTTTGAACTATGACCCCAGTACTGTCCTGTTGGTCTCTTTCCAGAAAATCCCTCCCCTTATCCCAGATAGATGTTCTTTCCTTTTATCCTCTGGCAGGGACATATCTCTGCTTTTAATCTTAATAAATGAGATAAGCTGATAACACACCTTCACAGGGAAGAGTCACTGGGATGCCAACGTCAGGCACATGGGCAGGTGGGCTGCGTTTGACTCCAGGTACGGAGAGGCCGCCGGGACCCAGGGCTGGCAGCTGAGGCGCTGCTAGAGCCGGAGTCGGCAACTGTGAGTTCTGGTACTTTGTTGCCAGTTCATTCCTGCTGTCACGTTCTGTTACTTTGTTGCCAGTTCATTCCTGCTGTTGCCAGGCAGCGCTCAGAAGGAGTCCACCACCTAGAGCATAGTTCTTTAGACCTAACTTGCTCTAGTTTTCTAGTCCATTTAAGAAACTCGCCCTCATTTTCACTGTCTGGCTAAGTTCAACCAGTTCCTACTTGGTGGTTAAATCCACAAAGATCAACAGGACACAGTTCTTGTCTCTGCGTGTTTCTACCTGAAACACAAGGGAAAGGTGCCAAGTAACGTAGTAAATGATAGAATAGACCCAAACAGAAGGGACCCAGGGACAAAGAGGGAGACTTCCTGGCGGCAAAGAGCCAAGACTTAGCAGCTGAAATGTCAAGAGAGACTGAAACGGCTTTTCTGCCAGAGAATGTGTAGGCAGGGGCCTGGAGGACCCGAGAGCACAGCTGTCCTTGGGGATGTGGCCTCCAGGCCCCTGATGAGCTGATCAGGGGGGACTTTGTTTGCAAAGGAGCTTTCCATGGAAGGTGATGGGTTGCGGAAGGGCTTTGGCCTGGGGTGGGCAGGCAGGTGTCACAGACGCCGCTAAGGAAGGGAACACGAGAGGTGAGGAGTTCGGGTGTGAGGCTACTGCAGTGGTCCTAGCTGCGAGAAGATGAAGACGGTGGGGGATTACGGGGCTCTTTTGGAAGGACAGGAGAAACACTCTGTTCCCTTTGCAGACAGACGATTCACCATCATGTATGTTAACACTGCTGACTCTGAATGCGTTCACACTCCCCAAAACAGACACCTGGGGAACGAGGCTGGCTCCACCTCCAGCATAATGTTCTTTATAAAAGGAATGGTTTTCGGAAAACGTGTGGCCTGGCATGTGGTTTGCAGGATGGGGAGGCAGGAATAGCTGCTCATTGTCACCAAGACCCCTGGGCTCCACCAGGTCCCGTTCTAATTAGGTTTCTCACCTCGCCTGCCTTCAAAAAGTGTTTTCTGTTCTGTTCTCACTTCCCGAGAACTAGTTTTCCTTACCAATTAGCACCTGAGGGTTATTCATTCCACCAACAGATGGTCCTGACACAGAGCCTCACGGTGAAAGAGTTTGGGCTTTTAATCAGTGTTCTCTGTGCACATGGACTCTCCCCCCCACCCCCACCCCGCGCCAAGAGCTGGGCCCCGGCTCTTCAGCGAGGCTCCCACCAGGAGGCTCAGGGGCACGCTGTTGGCAGACGGAACCTCCCTCCCGTCTCCCCAGCACCACCCCACGAGGCACTCAGGGAACTTGAAAGGCCACAGAGGCTGGGGACCAAGGTCTCATCAACCTGCTGATGAGGGTGTTTACTGTCTAGTGTGTCCACCACCTGAGGCCACTCAAAACGTGCCACTTTCTCCCACAGCCCAGCTGAGCTGCGCCGTCACAGATGGTGAGGCACGCGTGTCTCCGGGCGATTTCAGGCATGTCCTCCCGGATGCCACCTCCCAGCCCGCGACATCACTGCGGGCCTGGTCTGCACCACGTTCCACTGGCTGCCAGTCCACATGCGTGTCCCCTTCCTCGGGGTCTTGTGCTGCCGTAGACACGCAGGTAAAGCGACGCATGGCCCAGGCTCCTGGCCTCCTGGAGCTCAGTCTGGGGACAGACACCAGCCTGGTGCTGGGCCCGGGGCACTACCCCCGGGGGCGGAGGCTTCCCAGAGGAAGAGACCGCGGTCCCATGAGCCCGGCAGTGAGGAAGAGCCATCCTAACGCCGGACACATGTCCTGAGGCGGGGCCGGGTGACCACCAGCCACACCAGATGGCCACGTGGCCGCAGAGGGCTCCATGTCCCCGGCCTGTGGGGCAGAGGCGGGACGCCATCCTAGGTGCCCACTCCACTTTGGACGATCAGACCGGGAGCAGTAGCCCCAAAGGGCCACGCATTTGGCAGGATTTCCCGCCGCTTGTTTCCTGGGCAGCTGCTTTGCAGAGGCTGACGTTGGTCAGACCACCCAGACAGCTGTCCTCGGTGTGGCCAGGAGCCAGCAACAGCGCCACCTGCCAGACCTCCTCTTCGGAAGCCCTCGGGGGTCGCGATCTGCCGTGGTGACCCTCCAGGGCGTCCCCAGGCACATTCACGCCCACAGCCCTGGGGTCCCCGGGCCTGGCACTCAGTCCTCACCATGCCCCTCCCTAACCACCTCTCCACGCCTCGGCGTCGCCTCTGTAAAGTGGGGTGTCAGAGTGACCAGGGGGCTTGCCGGGACTGGAGGTGCTGTGGGAGGCGCCTCCCCCTCCCCCGGGTGTCCCCGCTCAGGCTGCTGGGACAAGGTAGCGCAGACGGTGGCTTAGAGACAGCAGGTGTCTCCCAGTTCTGGAGGCTGAAGTCTGAGATCGGGGTGCCGGCGGGGCAGGCTCGGGCCAGAGCCCTCGCCCTGGTCACAGACGTGTCGTATGTCCAACCAGGGGAAGAACGCTCTCCGGGGCCCCTTTATAGGGCAACACCCTGAGGACCTAACTGCCGCTTAATATGATCGATGGGCAGGAAGCGTGTCAACGTGTGACTTTGGTGGACGCCCGAACAGTCCGTCCCTCGCAGTTGGAAACCAGCCGTAATTGACCGTTGTCAGAGCGCTCCCCTGCGGTCCTGGGCCACCTCTCTGCTGGCCGCAGGGGAGGCTGTTGCCAGGACGACGAGCCCTGGATGTATTTGGTAGTCAACTCGCCCCTTTCCTGCCCCGAGACAGGCTGAACCATCTCGGGAAAGCGTGGGAGTGTGCCCCACAAGGGGTCTGTGACCTTGCTCTGGCCCCTGCTTCCTGCGCCAGGGGCCACCTGTTCCTCCTGGCCCTGCTCTGCCCGGAACCCACCTGAGCTTGGTTCCACCTGGAGCCGATCACCTGCCACCCTTCCGAAAGGCCTCCAGCCTAGGTGCACACCCCAGGCGAGGCCTGAGAACGGCCTCCTGTCCGGGCGGCGCGGCTGGCAGGGCCCTTCCACACCTCAGAGGCTGGAGCAGAGGCCAACGGCTGCCCTGAAGTCTCTACCAGCCAGCGTCCTCAGAAAGCTTGTCGTTGATTGAGGAGGCCCCCGACAGCCCAGCTGGATTCCCAGGGTAGCGAGGCTCAGACCTGTCCTTCTTGGTCGCAGTGATGCACCAGCTCTTCATGCTTCCGAATCCGTTCGCCCCGGATTGCTATCGAGATCGTGCCTGCGGAGCCTGAGATAGTCTCTCTCCCCCAAGGAGTCAAGAACTTGGTGGGGGTGGGGGAGACACCGTGGCTCCCACTTGTCGTGGGAAGGACAGCCTGGAACCCGTGCTCCTGACTCACTCCAGGCCGGTGCGAAGTGCTTTCTCCCTGAGACCGTGACTGCAGCAGCCACACCGGTGCTGCAGGAATGCCCTGGTCCACACGAGCCTTCAACACTGTCTCCTGCACAGAGACGTCGAGTCAGTCATGGGACTCTCAAACACTGGCAGGTGAGGAGGACAGACGTGGAGAACGGTCAGAGGAGTCAGTGAAGCACTCTGCGTGAGGGAGGAGGTTCTGATGCAGGACGCACAGTTTTAAGAGCCACGTCTGGGGGTGTGGCCTTGCAGCTACCAGTGTGCAGTGCATTCTGCTCTCCTCAGAGCCAGGGGTCACAGCTCTCTCTCCTCTGTCACCGGGGCGGGTGGGTTCCCGGTCCGCGCCACCATCCCCGCTAGAACACGACGTCTTCCAGGTCCACGAGTCCATGCTCTTCCACGTAACTGACGACTTCACTTTCCGTTTCGACCGAACCAGTTTTCTGCAAAACAGAACATCCTCTTAGCTCTTTTACAGAACTCATTTCTTCAAACTTCTTTTTAAAATTTTTTTTCTTTATTGATTTTAGAGAGAGAGGAAGGGAGAGGGAGAGAGAGATAGAAACATCGATGAGAGAGAACACCGACTGGCCGCCTCCTGCACGCCCCCCACTGGGGATCGGGCCCACAACCTGGGCATGTGCCCTGACCGGGAATCGAACCTGCGACCTCTTGGTACAGGGTCGAGGCTCAACCACTGAGCCACACCAGTCGGGTCCTTGAAACTTCTGGACAATTGTTTTATAAGTCTGTTTTGCTTCTAGGAATAGTAAATGTTCACTGAAGACAATGTGGAAAATAAAGTAGAAAGAAGACCAAAAATTACCCATGAGCCCATCCCCCAAACACAGCCCATGGGGCCTCCTTGGCCCTTTTTTCCTGCATATAAAGTTATCTTTACAGTTGTGAAGTCAAGTGAATCCACACTTCATAAATAATTGATTTCTTTCTGTGTAACATTGTACACTGTTTTAAATTCTATTACATGTGCTGTGGCATCATTTGTAACAGCTCCGCCACATTCTGTCTGCAGTTTACATGTGTTACGTCCAGACTCAGTGATTATGAATAATGCCATATTAATTAGAGAACTGTCCACTGGGAGAGACCACGTGCCTTCCAGGATGTGCAGGGCACTGCTGAGCTGGGCGGACCACACGCGTGGGCTCTGCGTCTGCACCTGGAACACCCTGACTTTCCCTCTCCGTTACTATGGTAGAAACCGGAGGCCTCTGGTGCAGGGTCGATGCTCAACCACTGAGCCACACCCGCCGGGCGACCACTGGTTCTTGTATGTGCCCTGACTGGGGATTGAACCTGCCACCTTGGCGTATCGGGACCACATTCTCACCAACTGAGATACCTAGCCAGGGCAGGATAAGATTTTTTTACAAGAAGCCTTTTTTTAAATTACTGCTAAAGGCAAACGTATCCCTCTTTCATGCGTCCCTTCACCCCAAGTAGCCGTCCTTTGAATGTCACCATTTCCAACCTGGGTCTGAACAAGCAGAGTGTGGCTCAAGGAGAGCTCGGGGGGCCGCGGCCGTCCAGCCCAGACCTGGTGCCCAGCCACGCTCAGAGGCCTGGTCCTAGTTACAGGCGGAGTGCTCTTTCCCACCAGCCAGATGCTCCCCAGAGGTCTGCCAGAGCCTCGCTGCCGAGGCCACTAATGGGCCTCCTTGTCGCCCTGGTAGCAGAGGTTTTGCCTTTGGAGGTAGAGACTGAGGCTCTGCCAGCTGTGCCCAGCTGTGCCCTGGCTCCCAAGCTCTCCCAGGTGCAGAACCTGGGCAGCAGGAGAAAAAGCAGGAGGCAGTACTGGCTTTTCCCAATTCTACCTGCTAGCTGTCTTGCTCTCCTCTCCCCCTCCCCCTGCCCCTCCCCCTCGTCCCTACATGGCTCTGCAATGTGAGAAGACGGCGGTTGTCCGAGGAGCCTGGCATGCTGAGCCCTGACAATAACCTTTGCTTCTTCTGAACCCAGCTTACCGACCCCCAGGTTGGTGTTTTGCACACCTGACTTGATTTTAGTCCACCACAAGCTTCAAGCGTATATACGATGAGCTCTTAGTTTCTTCCACCAGCCCCAGGGAATTAAAGGCAGGCTCTGGGGCTCTGCAGGGAACAGACAGGACAGAGGCCTTCAGCCGGCTTCTCAGGGCTGACGACAGGCGGTCACAGCAAGGACAGAGAACGCCGCTCAGAGGGCCCACGACAGTTCCTCACCCGGCCGCCCACCTCCGGACAAGCTGCGGTTGACGAGAGCACACGGCGGTGCCCCGCTCGCGCGAGCCTGGGGCGGAGGGCAGGGCCACTCCTGTCCCCTCCACCCTCTCTTCACTGGGTTGAGAGGACTGCTGTCCAATCATCCCAAACCCCGCGGTCACGGCTTACTGAAATGATCCGTTTGGTGTTAGACGGACCCTTTCCTGTCCCTACCACGAGGCGCCGTTGGTTCGTCTGATCATGGGTGTTTTTAGACAGAAAACTGAATGTGTTGAGAAAACTGCTCCATGTACAGCCGAGGGCTGCTGCAGGTCCGGCTCTGTCTGTCTGTGTGAATGAAGTTTCGCTGGCGCTCATTTGCATATTGCTCTGGCCGCCTCACAGGACCGTGTACCTAACGCGGGGGAGTTGCGGAACCATTGCGCCCGAAATCGTCACCCTGGGTCTCCTCCTAGAAAAGGGGGCGGAGCCCTGACCAAGCAGCTGCTGGGTTCCAGGGCAGGCCCGCCGAGCACAGTGCCATGACCACACCGAACAGCTACGCGGTGCCGACAGGGAGGAGAGAACACGCCACAAACACACGGTGTCGTGGTCACAGGTCAGGCTCGGTCCTGTTCCGAGGTCGCTTCCCCCAGACCGAGCCGGAACACACCACCACCCTGAGCAAGGTCCCGGCCTTTTCTGCAGAAACTGGCTCTCAAACGTGTGTGAGCATGAAAAACACCTAGAATAACAAAAACAGCCCTGAAAAAAATGACATTTGGATGCCTGACGCTCGCTGGTCTCCAGGTTTACACCGAAACTCCCCTAATTAAGACAGTGTCGTACGGGCATAAAGACAGACAAATGGGTCAATGAAGCCACACGGAGAGTCCGGAAGGAGACCCTCACATACACGTCGACTGATTTTTAACAAAGATGTCACGACGATTCCCTGGGAAAGTGATCTTCCCCCCACCCCCCAAAGTTGCCGGACGACTGGAGAGCCCTGGGTAGGTCGGCGTGCGGGTCCCCCGCGCTCTGACGGGCGTAAAGGGCCCGAGCACGCGCGTGGGTGGAGAGATCATCTGCCTTCCTTCTGGTCCTTCACACCAAGGAGCTGAGGAATGTGCATCTGAAAATCTTGGTTGATGAGGACACCCCTGTGCAGAAACCCAGACCCTCACAGCGTCAGGCCTGAACCAACTACGGGGCCCTCTCGCCGCGGCCTCTGACTCCTCAGACTGCGAAGTCAGGGCTCACGGGCTCGACGGAATCGCCCGGGGTCGGTTCAGAGGTGGCCTCACAATGTGACTGGTGAGGACGCTCGGCATTGAGCGGGACCTTTCCAGAATTCAGAGGCAGGAATGGGCACACAGAACCAGTCCGCCAGAGCGCCACAGACAGCCCCCCGCCTCCCGGGCTAAGATCCCGCCTTACAACACGGACCGCCAGCAACTCGGTGGCAGATCCCTGGGGACCCAACCCTGGGCAGACAGGACCCAGCCGAAGCACCGTCGACGTTACCTCGTAGTTAATGGTTGCGATGAAAACTTGAATGTTCCTTTTTGGTGTTGGAATCGGGGGGAACAACTTGGTCCACACGTGACATCTGAAAGCAGAGTAAAGGAGGGAATCAGGGCCTTGCGGGCCGCTCGGAACACCAGCCTCGGCTCCTGCAGGACCCGCTGTCGGGGCTCTTCAAATCCGTGTTGACGCCCTGGCCAGTTTGGCTCAGCAGTTAGAGCGTGGGCCTGTGGTCCGGAGAGACCCGGGTTCGGTTCCCGCTAAGGGCACGTACCTCGGTTGCAGTTTGTCCCCGGCCCTGGTTGAGGTCGTGTGGGTGGCAGCCAGTCGATGTGTCTCTCTCATGTCAATGTTTCTCTCTCTCTTCCTCCCTCTCTCCTACCCACTCTATCTGCAAAAATGTCCTCAGGTGAGGATAAAAAACAAACAAAAACAAAAGAAAAAATAAAATATAAAAGCCCAAACTGGGTGAGGGCTGAGACCCTGTCCTGGGGCCCCCTCGTGAGCACCCACTGAAGACTAAAATGAGAGGAGGGTGGATGGGGCCGTTCCCCACTCTCGGGCGGGTCACCAGATCTGGGTGACATTTCTAGACTGTGTCTGACCCAAGGACAGTCAGCCCCTCGGAGACGGATGGCCGCAGGGGAGGGCTGGAGTCGCACCTCATAACCAGGTTCCCACGGGAGGAACTAGAGTGGCCGCAGCCTCGTGGCCGCCTTCCTTCAGCAGATGTAAAAGGCGTGTGGACAAAGGCAGCCACATGCTGAGGGGCCGGCCGGGGGTAAGGCACCAAGGGACGGACGGTGGACCGACGCACGCGCTCAGAGCGGCTGCAGGCCGGACGCGGGCTGTGTCCCTGTCTGAACTGCCTGCTGGTGTTCCTCTCTCTGATTCGGTTCCCACTCATCCCGGAGAGGTTGTCCCCAGGAACAAGAACCCGAGCGGATTCGGCCCGCAGGGGGCGCCCAGTGCAGATACCTACGTCCTACAGGTGAGGGAGAGGACGAACAAGCAGATGGTCGCCATGAGAAGGAGCAGGATCCATTCCGTGGAGGGCTTCTGCTCATCACTTCCTGACGACAGGGAAGGAAACCGGAGCTGGACTCAGGGACAGGAGAGATGGTGGTGGGGGATGGGACTGGATGGTGGTGGGGGATGGGAAGCTGGGTGGACTGGACCAGGGAAGGAGAGATGGGGGGGGGGGATGGGAAGCTGGGTGGACTGGACTCAGGGACAGGAGAGATGGTGGTGGGGATGGGAAGCTGGGTGGACTGGACTCAGGGACAGGAGAGATGGGGGTGGGGATGGGAGCTTGGGTGGACTGGACTCAGGGACAGGAGAGATGGTGGTGGGGAGGGAAAGCTGGGTGGACTGGACTCAGGGACAGGAGAGAGTGGTGGTGGGGATGGGAAGCTGGGTGAACTGGACTCAGGGACAGGAGAGATGGTGGTGGGAATGGGAAGCTGGGTGACTGGACTCAGGGACAGGAGAGATGGTGGTGGGGATGGGAAGCTGGTTGGACTGACTCAGGGACAGGAGAGATGGTGGGTGGGGATGGAAGCTGGGTGGACTGGACTCAGGGGACGAGAGATGGTGGTGGGGATGGGAAGCGGGGTGAACTGGACTCATGGACAGGAGAGATGGTGGTGGGGATGACGCTGGGGGAATGGCCTACTCAGGTGTAGACAACGAGAAGACAGAATGAATGAGAAACAGGAGAGTAACCAGGAGAGATGGGGGTGGGGGATGGGAAGCTGGGTTGGACTGGACTCAGTGACCAGGAGAGTGGTGGTGGGGATGGGAAGCTGGGTGGACTGGACTCAGGGACAGGAGAGATGGTGGGTGGGGGAATGGGAAGGCTGGGTGGACTGGACTCAGGGACAGGAGAGATGGTGGTGGGGGATGGGAAGCTGGGTGGACTGGACTCAGGGACAGGAGAGATGGTGGTGGGGGATGGGAAGCTGGGTGGACTGGACTCAGGGACAGGAGAGATGGGGGTGGGGGATGGGAAGCTGGGTGGACTGGACTCAGGGACAGGAGAGATGGTGTGGGGGATGGGAAGCTGGGTGGACTGGACTCAGGGACAGGAGAGATGGTGGTGGGGGATGGGAAGCTGGGTGGACTGGACTCAGGGACAGGAGATGATGGTGGTGGGGATGGGAAGCTGGGTGAACTGGACTCAGGGACAGGAGAGATGGTGGTGGGGATGGGAAGCTGGGTGACTGACTCAGGACAGGAGAGATGGTGGTGGGGATGGGAAGCTGGGTGGACTGGACTCAGGGACAGGAGAGATGGTGGTGGGGGATGGGAAGCTGGGTGAACTGGACTCAGGGACAGGAGAGATGGTGGTGGGGATGGGAAGCTGGGTGCACTGGACTCAGTGACAGGAGAGATGGTGGTGGGGGATGGGAAGCTGGGTGGACTGGACTCAGGGACAGGAGAGATGGGTGGTGGGGATGGGAAGCTGGGTGGACTGGACTCATGACAGGAGAGATGGTGGTGGGGGATGGGAGCTGGGTGGACTGGACTCAGGGACAGGAGAGATGGTGGTGGGGGATGGGAAGCTGGGTGGACTGGACTCCGGGACAGGAGAGATGGTGGTGGGGATGGGAAGCTGGGTGGACTGGACTCAGGGACAGGAGAGATGGTGGTGGGGGATGGGAAGCTGGGTGGACTGGACTCAGGGACAGGAGAGATGGTGGTGGGGATGGGAAGCTGGGTGGACTGGACTCAGGGACAGGAGAGATGGTGGTGGGGATGGGAAGCTGGGTGGACTGGACTCAGGGACAGGAGAGATGGTGGTGGGGGATGGGAAGCTGGGTGAACTGGACTCAGGGACAGGAGAGATGGTGGTGGGGGATGGGAAGCTGGGTGGACTGGACTCAGGGACAGGAGAGATGGTGGTGGGGGATGGGAAGCTGGGTGGACTGGACTCAGGGACAGGAGAGATGGTGGTGGGGGATGGGAAGCTGGGTGGACTGGACTCAGGGACAGGAGAGATGGTGGTGGGGATGGGAAGCTGGGTGGACTGGACTCAGGGACAGGAGAGATGGTGGTGGGGATGGGAAGCTGGGTGCACTGGACTCAGTGACAGGAGAGATGGTGGTGGGGGATGGGAAGCTGGGTGGACTGGACTCAGTGACAGGAGAGATGGTGGTGGGGGATGGGAAGCTGGGTGACTGGACTCAGTGACAGGAGAGATGGTGGTGGGGGATGGGAAGCTGGGTGGACTGGACTCAGTGACAGGAGAGATGGTGGTGGGGGATGGGAAGCTGGGTGGACTGGACCTCAGTGACAGGAGAGATGGTGGTGGGGGATGGGAAGCTGGGTGGACTGGACTCAGTGACAGGAGAGATGGTGGTGGGGGATGGGAAGCTGGGTGGACTGGACTCAGTGACAGGAGAGATGGTGGTGGGGATGGGAAGCTGGGTGGACTGGACTCAGTGACAGGAGAGATGGTGGTGGGGATGGGAAGCTGGGTGGACTGGACTCAGTGACAGGAGAGATGGGGGTGGGGGATGGGAAGCTGGGTGGACTGGACTCAGTGACAGGAGAGATGGTGGTGGGGATGGGAAGCTGGGCAGAGTCGCAGGCGCTGGCTGATGCAGGGCAAGGAGCTGGGCCCTGAGCCCCGGTTCCTCCCCGCACGGAGGGGGCGCCACACCCACCGCGCATGCTCACTGGAGCGCGGAAGGAAGTGACGGGGACGCTCTTCAGCTGTCAGCATCGTCACTCGGTCGGCAGAGATCTGCGGGTACTTCTACGTACTTTGCCTACTTAGTGACCAAACTGCATTACAACCAAAATGTCTGTAATGCCAACAAAAGTTGGAAACTGAACTTGCGGGGCCGTGAACACAGACGAATACGTGCACGGAACGGGGTGGCATCGACCCTGGGCCGTGGGCGCACTGCAGTCTGACCCTCAGAGCAGCCGGCTGCTCACACCCATTTCACAGCCTGGAAAGCAGAGGCAAGCGCCACAGCGTCCCTGTCCTACCTGCCCAGTCATACCTGCTTCTCATCTGTCCGGAAGACTCTACACGGGTTCCTCGAGGGGCTTGGAGGACAGCTTGGGGGCGGGGCGTGTGACTTTGTAAGGTACTAGAAATGCATTCGAGAAACCCGAGGTCATTCACTCGTGTTGCAAATGGTGTTGGAAGGGGTCACTTTCCACACTCAGCCAGCGCGGCCGCACCCCGGTGAGGACTTTCAGAACCCCAGACTCACACTCGGCACACAGATCTAGGTCTGTTGGCAGGCAACCCCCTCCTGTTTATAACTGGGTCAACAGACAGGTCAAGTTCGGGTCCTGCAGAAAGATGGAGCAGTGGTGTCAACATTATCAGGGTCACACAGCCGGCGCCACTCCTGTCTACAGGGTGCGACGCCCCGTGGCCTGACGTGTAGGGGCCAGTTGATAGTGCTGTTGGCTCCCGCCCATGATGACTCGTGTCTTTTTGGCTGAACCCCTCTCTGTAGCTGCTCACTCAGCTCTCGCTTTGCCAAGAGAAGATTCTCGCCGAATTAGCAGAAGTATAGAGGCTGCTGATTTTATTTCTCCATCGAATAAAGGTGTCGGCATATGCAAGGTACGCGCGGGCAGCAAAGGAGCAGGAGGTCATTTCTTGGGCCTGGCTGCGGCCGTGTCCCGGTGCCGAGGACAGAACCCACCGCCGAGATCAGGGCCAAGGTCAGCTGCACCGCGAAAGAACGCACAGGCAGGTAAACTGAGGGCCGGACTGTTTCGCCTGCTCACCAAACAGAAACGACTGCGGGTCATCTGCTGCTCAGCTGTCGGTTGATGCAAAATACTGAGCGTCGGTCACATAAATAAGTGGCCTGGAAACTGCGCTTCCTCTAACCCCGGGTCGTCGGCACGAGAGCAGATTCCCCTCACAGTGCACGTCTTTGGCTCGAAGTGATTCCATCGCAGCGCTCTCGGGCTGGGCTGCCCTGGAGGGGCCGTGCGCTTGCCTTCTGGAGTCTCTGGACGCGGAGGAGTTCTTCAGAACCAGTGTTTCCAGATAACCTGAGCTTTGGCTCTGACTCAAGGAGAAACTCAAACTGTTTCTTTTCAGGAAACTGGCGGCACAGTGTGCGGCTGAACAGAACCGAGCTCTAGAAAGAGGAAGTCTCCGGGCCTCCCCCGTAAGCCCTCCAGGCTCCCCCTCATCCCGAGGGCTGTGCAGACATTGCCCACGGGGAGCCCAGCTGTCTGCTTGCTGGTGACTTTGGCTTCCATCATTTTTGACATCTAACCATTTGACCTTGAGAATAAGGCAGCTCATGAAAATTCCGTTGTTTCAGAACCGAGAGAAGAGGAGGGGGCGCCGGTGGTGTGTAGTGTGATAGGCTGGTGGCAACCGAGCCGGAAAAACCGAGGTCTGGACCCCGCCCAGTCCCAGACCTCGTCCAGCTCTGTCTCTGGGGCTGGGACCGAGGTCAGGTCCCTCCCCCCGGGCAGCAGCCTCCCTTGCGCTGGGATGCTCTGGTCTGCAGAGCACGGAGTGCTAACTCGGGAGTCGGTTTGATTCCGGGCCTGCCCCGAACTGTCCGCACCAGTAGGAACTTCCGTGCTTCCATATTGAGCTGGACCTGACTTCAGACTCAACGACAGGTGTCAAGGGAGCAGAGCTAATCCGTGGACGGATGGGCCCCTGCAGCGAAGCGGTTCTGTGCTCCCAAAGCAGCGGGTGCTGGGAGCAGCTCCCGGGCCAGCGGGGCCGCTCACTGGGAGGGAGCCAAGGCGTCGGCCTAGGCGGCGGGGCGTACCTGCGGTCGGTCGGAGGGAGAGGCTGGGGAGTCCTCCGTGAAGGGGCCCCAGGTGGGGTCACTGGCTCACCGGCACGCACCTGGCAGAGCCGACATTCCAGGTGGGGCGCCCCGTGAGGCAGCTGTTCATGGACTGTGGGCCTGCCCTGGATCTGGGGGACGGGGAGAGGACAGCGAGACAGCCTCAGAGCGCAAACCGGAGAGCAGCCCGGGACACAGCCGACACGCAGCACTTTCACGGGGACGCCAGCTCCAGGGAACCAGTGCCCGGGGCACACGGAGGCCCTGGGTGGCGGTCA